CTGCGCGAGGGCGCCAGTAGGCGCAGTATCGACCGCGTGTCGTCGGAGATCCACGGCTGGCGAGGGCGGTCCTCAGGCCTGCCGTAAGCATGGCGGGCGGCCGTGCGCACCTGCGACACCATCGCCTTCTCGTCGATGGATGCGTCGACGGGGACCTGCAACGGGTGCAGCATGGTCTGAAACGCTTGGACCCGGGCTGGATCGCCAAGCCGCCATTCGTTGAACCGGAAAGCGCCGGGCTTGGGCGCGCGCGCGAGGAGCGCAGACGTGCTGGTCGCAGCCACGGCGAGACGATGGCCTTCCTTAGCTGCCAGCGAAAGCTGCACGTTACGAGGGACGTAAGAGACGGACGCGTGGGACAGCTCGTCCAAAGGCCCGCAGATGTAGTCAATGCGGGACGTGGGTGGGGCCTTTGCCAGAGCGCCACGTATAGCCCACATCATAGATAGTGTTGATGGCGGCGAGGCGGAGGCGGACGAGCACCGAGAGCATGTCGGCGCCGTTGGCCGCAAATGCTTCCGAATCGCAGGCGCCGATTGTCCTGGAGTGATCGGCGCCCACCCTGCCGTTCGCATCGATGCCGAGGAACATCTTGGCAGACGGGGCGCGGTCACGAAGCGCCGGCAGCGTCTGGAGCAGGAGATCCCAGAAGGCCTCACATCCCGCACAAGAACGAGACGTCTCCCGCCAGCAGCGTCTGGAGCGAACGAGAATAAATTGGACGCCCTGCACATTCCGGCCCGTTACCCAGTAGAGGCGACTGGATGGCGCCGCGTAGGAGGAGGCGCGGATTTGGGTGGCTGCGCGGACCCACACCTGGCAGCCGTGCCCGCCGAGGCTGTCCGACGCGCCAACATGCATGGTGTAGTGGAGGCCTCGGCGCACTTCAGCGGCGCGTGCGCGACCCTCCTGAATGAAGACGAAATCGAAGTGCTCATAGTGGAACGCCTGCTCCAGAATCTGGACATTGCCGAGCCGGAGGGCGCAGCTGACCTGAGCGCCAGCAGCTGCTTCCCCTTGAGGGCGCAGCATACACGCGTTGCCAGTGGCAGCGCGGAATGTCGAACAAGCCATCGTAAATGGACGAGTCGACGCCGGTGGTGCGGGCGCCGCCGGAGACGAAGGAGTCCTCGCAGACGGCCAGATCGCAGACATACGACTGCTGCCTGCACACTCCGGCCAACGCTCAGAGGGGGCGAGGCGGGCCAGGAGCGCAGAAGGCCGCGCGCGAGGCGACGACTGCGCAGTCTGAGGGGCCTTGGAGGCGGCAGGAAACCCCGCCGTCTCCTTGCCGATGGACTTGATCACCCTGCGCTTGCTGAAGTAGTCTGTGATCAGCTCCTTGCGAGGTTGCTTCCCACTGCGGCACGCCGGCGTGCCAGGCTTGGCGGGGAGCGGAGCCGCAGGGGGGCTCGTGGTGGTATGGCGCACCTCCTTGGGGACAAGCGGCGCGCCGGCACCAGCTGTACGAGTGGCCTCGGCCTGCTGGGGCGTGCCCCGAAAGCTGTCGAACAACTGCCGCGCGTGCGTCTTGGCAGCCTCGACGTGCCCTGGGTGGACGTACTCGTCGGCCATGGGCTGGTCGATCATCTGGCCCAGGATCGCGTGCGCCTGGGACTCGGGCGTCGCAGTCGCCTCCATGGGGGCCTCCGTCGTGAGAGAAGCCTCCAGCTCCTGAAACTCCGTCTCGAGCGCAGTGACCTCGCATGCGGCCGTGTGCTGTAGCTGCAGGGCAGCTGCCGCCGCCTGCTCGGCCTCCGCCTGGCGCTGGCGGGCACGTCCCAGAGCAGCGCGTGCGCCATCGATCCGGGCACCGATCGGCTAGGAGCCGAGAAGCTGCCGCTTGGCGTCGGTGAGCCGGGTCGCCAACGACGCGCGCTCGGTGGCGAACTCCGCGTCGTCCTCGGGGATGGCCGCCAGGGCCGTCTCCAACTGCTTGATGCGGGCCTGGAGGTGGCCCTTGTTCGGGGCCTCGTTGCTGAGAGCCTGCGGCACGCGCTCGGCAGGCACAGGAGGAGGCGAGGGAGGCGTGGGGGGTGCGTCCTTGGCCTCGTGGATCTTCGTGAGGGTCTCCGTGAGGGCGTTCAGTTGAGCACGAACAGGGTTCTGCTGCGATGCAATCGTCTCCTTGGCCGGGGGGGTGGCCAACGCCGACTTCGCAACTTCGCCGTGGGTCCGCTTGAGCCCACATGTCGTGCAGGCTTTGGGGCTGTGGTTCGTGCGCTGGCACTGCTTGCAGGTCCATGTGCGTGAATTCGATGGAGGCAGCTGGCTGCGCAATGGGCGAGGGCCCACATAGTGCCAGTTGCCGGAGGGGTCGCGCTTCCATTCCGACGTAGAAGGCGAGCCACTGCCACCATGGCCGCCAACGGCGCCCTGGCCACACGCATTGCGCCCCCATCCTGACATCGGAAGGCGGGCTAGTCTTGGAAACCGCCGAAGACTAAAGCTTGCGATGCCAAGCTGGATGTAGACTTACGTATTGACTCGAGCCCCAAACCTCCTGGATCTGACCAGAAGGCGCAACTTGAGCCGAAATGGATCCGGATTTCTCTCTCTCTCTCTCTCTCTGTCTCTCTCTCTCTCTCTTTTTTCCTTTCTCTCTCTCTCTCTCTCTCTCTCTCTCCCTCTCTCTCTCTCTGTCTCTCTCTCTCTATCTCTCTCTCTCTCTCTCTCTCTCTCTCTCTCTCTCTCTCTCTCTCTCTCTCTCTCTCTCTCTCTCTCTCTCTCTCTCTCTTTCTCTCCGCCGGCCCCCTTGTGGGGCCGCCGGGCTGTAGGGCGAGGGTTTGCTGTTCCCTGCGCCAGTTCAAGTTTCCAGCTTCCACTGGTACAGATCGGTCGTTTGCTGCTTACTGTTCCTCGTTGGTTGACCGCGCGAAGGGGATGGGGGCCGAGAAGGTGCCCAGTTACCACGCCCGAGTCGCGCGCTTTGAATTATTGGGGAGGGCGTGGGACACGGACAAATAAAATCAGCGCCCTGAAACCATACACCCTCAAAGATTAAACAATATTCGCGTCCCCGTGGCCATAGACCCTCGTAAATTGCGGATTATTCGCGTCCCCGAAACCGTACCCCCCCCCCCCCCCCGCAAATTACACCATAGTTGTGTCCCCGAAGGCATAAGCCTTCGCAAATTACGCAATGTTTGCGTCCACGGGGCCACAAACGCTTGTAAATCACGCGGCATTCGCGTCCACGAGGACATTCACCTTTAAACAATTAATATGTATTCGCGTATCCGAAGCCATAAACATGCGTAAATGACGCAATGGCTGCGAACCCGAAACCAGAAACCGTCGTAAATGATACGCGAATCGCGTATCCGAAGCCATACACCCTCGTAATTATACAATATTCGCGTATCCGAAGCCATAAACATATGTTAATCACGCTATCTCTGCGAACCCGAAGCCATGCACCATCGCGCATGACGCGCTGTTCGCTTATCCGAAGCCATAAACCCTCGAAGTACAACGCCGAATTCAAAAATTCGATCAGAATCTCAATTTGTCTTGCAGATTACTCGTCGTCTTCGCGTGAAGTCCCGACGCTGCTACACGGCGGCGCCAAGGCCTCATGATTTCGCTCTTGCATTGCCCATTATTCGAGTGATGGGGGCCGGCGGCAGGGGGCGAAGCCCTTGCGGGTAGATATATGTATGTATGTATATACATATATATATATATACACATTCATACACACACACTTTTCGGGGGGCGTACGTCCACGCCAGTGGCCAAGTCAGCACATAAAACTACCCTTTTCTTCTAGCACCCAGAAGCCGCCCCCCGGGCCCCTGGCCAAAGGTCCCACTGCGCCCGCAGATAGCGGGCCCGGAATCCCCAGAGGAAAGGCCAAGCATCGAAGCACGGTGCGCCTCCGAACAGGACGACCAGCCATGGGACGCCTAGTCCCCTGGCACACATCCCGCGGGGGCCCCGACCACCAGCTGGCCTGCGCATGTGGGGGCCGCCCCTCACATACTCCAACAAAACACTGGCGCCCCACAGACACCGACGGCCAGTTAGTTACTGAGAACAAGGGCTTACAAAAGGCATGCGCTAGAAGGGTCAACGGCCAACTCCCCCTGGGCTGAGGCGCCAGCCCAGGAGTAGCTGAGGGCATCGAATCTACGCGGTCCCTCTCCGCTCTGGGGATGCCCAACAGCTGTCCCCAGAGTATAAGAAGGCAATGGGTGGGAGCCCGGGAAAAAACAGCGGATGGAGACGGCGATCGACGACGGGCCCCCCCAAGTATAGCCTCGCGACAAGCGTAGACGGTCATGCTGTTTTGGGGAAGTACGCCCACGCCAGCGGTCAAGTTAGCCCAGAAAACTGCTCCTTTCCACAGGCGCCCAGAAGCCGCCCCCAGGACCCCTGGCCAAAGGTCCCACTGCGCCCGCAGATAGCGGGCCGAGATATCCCCGGAGGAAAGGCCAAGCACCGAAGCATGGTGCGCCTCCGAACAGGACGACCAGCCATGGGACGCCCAGTCTGCCTAGTCCCCTGGCGCCCATCCTGCGGGAGCCCCGACCACCAGCTGGCAAGCGCATGTGGGGGCGGACACTCGCGCACTCCTACCAAACACTGGCGCCCCGCAGACACCTACGGCCAGCAACTGGAAACAACGGTTTGCAAAGGCATATGCTAGACGGGTCAACAGCTACCCCTCCGCATCTCCAACCTTGGCGCGCGCGCCTGTCCACTCAGCGCCGATGCTAACACCCGCTCACAACCTAAACGTAAGCCAGCGAAGCTGCCGAGTATATACAGAATGCCCCTTCGAATTTTCAACCGGCCGCGGCCAGACGCCCGGCCTCAAGAACCGCCCCTTCGAATTCCCTGCCCGCCAGACTCTGCGACTCAGGAACTATTTCAAAATCATACGGCCATGCTGAATGCTGCTGCTCATCAGCTCTGACCTTGACAAGGTCTGCAACAGCGTCTTCGATGTTGATTATCACTGTTATTGTGCTTGCCCATCGGCCTCTCACGGGCGCCTGCCCCATCGAACTCGCGCGGCAAAACAAGTCGCTCGCGCCGCCGCGGCGGCAGCTGTGCCAGCTGAAGAGGCCCGCGAAACCGAGGGCCTCGGCCATTCGCTGGAGGCCAGCCCCCATTTGGTCGGGCGAGCGCCCGGCCAGCCGCTGCTTCGCTGGGAGGCCTGCCGCGACGCGCCGCAGCAGGGGCAAGCAGGCCCTCGACCGCGCGACAGCAGCCTCCGCAGCGCCCATGCCTGCGGTGGTCTCACTGCTGCCGCCGCGAAGCACGATGCACGAACCTCGATCACGCACGTCGCCTGCCACGAGGTTGAAGGTTTCTCCCCCTCGCAGCATCGCTTCGAAACTGGCCGAGATGAGGCAGGCGAGATCAAAGGCCGCGGCCTCGATCGCCAGGCCCGCCATGGCGCCCGCGAGCCCTGCGGTCAGCGGGGGCTCGCGCGGCGCAGGCTCCCGCTTCCGCCGCGTCCGCAGAAGCACCCAGGACAAGTCGAGCTTCCTGCGCAGGGAAGGGCAGAGGAAAGCCACGCCTGCGACAGTGTTGCTCGCCGCAGATATCCCAGCGCCTGCTGCCCAGAGCGCCTCGAGGAAGTTGGCGACAAACTCATCCGCATCGTCGCCCTCTCGGGCGAGCCCTGCGGGCATGTGCCTTCAGACTGCTGCAACATGCCGCCTGCCGTCAGTCCCGCGCGGAAAGGCGTCAACAAATGGGCACGCGGGTCGCGCCCCGTCACTGGCGGTCTCCGCGAGCGGCCTCGAGGACGCGACTGCCCCGCCCCCTGGGCCGCGAGCCGCGCCGAAGCTTTCTCGACGGTTCGTCGGCCGGGTTGTTCTCCGACGCGATGTAGCCGATCAGCGGACTCATGTCGGCGGCGGCAACGACCGCGGCCCACTGCCGCAACGTGGGCTGGAGGCGGATGCTGCTGCCCCTGCCCTTCGCGATGGCGGCCGCGACGGCCTCGCTGTCTACCAGGTGGGGCCAGCGGCTGCAGTGGCGGCGCGCTGCGCGCGACCTCCAGCGGAGGGCCGCGAGCGCCGCTGGCAGCTCCCTCGCGTCGATGTGGGCGCTCTGGTGCTTTGGCCAAGCCATGCTCAGCACCGCGCGCCACCGCCGCGCGGAAGGGCACGGCGACGATCTGGGCCAGCCCATGGGCCGGCACGGCAAATTCACGTCGAGGCGCACGTCGCTGCTGCCCTTATCAGACCTGGCGAGGTAGCTGCGGAGGAACAGCCGACTGGCCTCGGTCTCGGGCCCCACCGCGTCCGCGTCGCGCTCGAAGCAGCCGGCTTGCTCTCGCGTTGGGCTGCAATCGCTGACGCGCCCCAGCTCCGCCATGGACAGCGGCCGCGTCGCGGCGACCGCCTCGACCAGAAGCCACTGCGCCAGCCAGGAGACCGATGACGCGCTAAAGCTGCTGCATGGCAGGAAGGACCTGGCATAGTCGCTATCGCGTTGGTTCGAGCCCTTCGCGGCCACGGCGGCGAAACGGACGTCGGACCCCATCGCCCTCTCCCGCTCGGAGCTCGAGGGGGCGCCGAGCGGGCCGCTGCTGCCGCCGTCCTGCAGGATGTTTTTTTCTCTTCGTAAAGCGCAACGTGGCAGCGAAACGACTCGGCCTGCCAGCGGGCCTGCGCGTCAGAGGAGGCAAGCTTCAGCCCGCGCGGAGCCGAGGGGCACCCCCCATGCGGTCTGCTGCGCACACGCGTGGGGAGGGCCAAGGCTCGCCAAGCCACTGGGGGCCAGAGTCCGTCCAGTCGAAGCAGAGGAGCGGGGGGCCATCGTTGGCCGCGACGAAACTGTCTTCCCGCCCCTGAAGGACGAACGGCGGTTCGACCTGGATCGCCCAGCTGAGCCAGCGCAGCTGGGGCCGCCTGCAAGGCGCCAGCACGGAGGCGCACAGAGATACCGGTTTGACGCCGAGGGCCCGCTCATGCCGCGCACGCAGTCCGCCGTCATGCTCGCCACGTTCCCAACGAACCACTTGAAGCGCGGGCCGAACGCCTTCCGCAGGAGGCCGACGATCCGCGTGACCTCGAAGAACGCTGAGCTCTTGGGGTCGACCAACTCCTGCGCAGACGCATTCAGCCCAGTGAGCCCCTGGCATGGGCTGCCCGCAGCAGTTCGAGGTCGACGTCGGACTCGTAGGCCGCCTGCCTGCAGGTCATTGACCGTCTGAGCGGGCGCTGTCTTGACGTCGCCCCAACCGATGGCACCTGGCCACCTGAAACGCATGACCCCCCTCGCCTTGGCGTCCGTTTCCGCGCTGCCGCCGCCCACAATCCTCCCGGGCAGCCTGGAGAATGCCACCGCCAAGCCGCCGATGCCGTCGAACAGCCCGACGCAAAGCACCCTGAGCACCTTGGTGACGATCCCGCGCGGCGCCCGAGAGTTGCCGCGACTCCGCCGCGCCCGCGGATCCACTGGCAGGCCGAGGGCCCTCGCGCACTCCCCGAGCTGCGCGCCAGGGTCAGCCGCCAGGGCGGTTGCTGCTGCCTGCTCGCGGAGGCCCGGCGAGAGACGCAGACGCCGCCGCCAAACTCCGACGCGCCTGATCACGACGCCATGCCCTCTAGGCGGCTCCGCAGCGAGGTGGCAGCCAGCGGGGGGGCGAGCAGCGCCGTCGCCAGCTCCTCCCTCGCCTGCTGTGCATCCATCGCCTGACCAGGGAGAGTTGGCGTGGACAACGGAAGGACATCCACCCCCAGGCCTCGCGCCCCCGCCCCGTGGACGCACGCGTCGCGAACTCCCCGGCGAAGGCGCTCGCGCCCGAGGGGTCCGCGGTGGTGGGGCCCAGCAGCGCCGCGGCGAGGTCGACGGCTGCCAGCTCGGGCCCGAACTCCACCTTGACCACGCGCCCCCACTCCTTGAAGCCCGCCTCGCTCGCCGACGTCTCCTCAACGGGCTGGTCCTTGGGGCGGTCGCGCGGCTGCCCCTTGCTCGGGGGCGGGGCTGCGGGGTGCTCGGCGAGCTGCCCCCCGCCCCGCCCTGACCGACAGGCCGCCCCTCCAGGCTGCCGCGGGCCCGCCCGCGTCGCCCCACCAGCGACGGCACGCTTCCCCAACCCCTCGCCAAGGGCCAAGGGCTGACTCCAGCCCGCGCGGTGGCGGCCCGGGCCCCGCGGGCGCAGGCCCCCTCGCAAGGGCGAAAAGGAGCCGCCTGATTCGCACCTCGCAAGCCTTCGCGGACTCGCTGGGCTTCCCCGGGCGCTTCGTCTCGGCCTCCTTCCAGGGGCGCCCCCCCCGAGACGACCCGCCGCGGAGGGGCCGCCCTCGCCGCCGGCGCCTCGTCGGTCTCCGCGGCGCCGACTGGGGCCGCGGCCCGCCCGGCCGGCGGCAGCGCTGTCGCAGGGGGTGCCCCCCTGGCCACCCCCAAGCCCTGAGCCCTGAGGCTGCTCGCGGAGTCGTGGAGCCAGCTCCTCCAGCTAGAGATCCCCGCGCTGGGCGTTCCTTATCATCTCCCCCTCCTCGCTGCGGAGCGCCAGCGGCTGGTCCGTCGGCGGTGTCAGCTCGGGCCAGTTCGTCGCAGACCAAATGCCGTCGTTCGCCGCGACCTGGATCGCTTTGAACCTCTGGACCAAATTGTCGGCCACTGCTGCAGTACGGCCTTGAAGCAGTAGGTCCAGCGCCTCCGCGATCGCCCGCGTCTCGCGATAGATCTCGCCGCCGATCTCCTTCACAGGGTGCTGCGGCAGGTAGACAGGGAGGAGGCAGCGCAGCACGATGGGCCCGCGCGGGTCGACTGACCCTCCGCCGCCCTGCGAGCCCAGGAACTCCGACATCTGACTGAGGCTCAACTCCGCCAGGCCTTTCGGGAGGAGGCCGCCGTCGGAGGCGGGGCCCTCCGAGGGCCGAGCCGCGCTCTGCGGCGCCTTGACCAGCGCCGCGAGCAGATCCTGCACGCCTGCGCCCGCGCCGCCGGGCCCACCTGGCACAGCGTTCCCAGCGACCGCGACAGGCCCGCCTGGCCCAGCGCTGGGAGCGGGCCCACCTGGCACTACGCTCCCTGCCGCCACGACGGGCCCACCTGGGCCAGCCTTGGCCGCCTTGCGGACTCGGTCGTCCAGCACCTCGGCGAGTGTCCTCTTGGTCGCGGGCCCGCGTGGCCGCTGCGGCTTAGGGACCAGCTCCTCGTCCCCCTCGATCTCTATGACGTCCTCGCCCACGGGGTCGCGCCGCTGCTCCTGGAGGCGCCCGCAGCGATCCTTGGCCTCCTGCAGCTTGCCGCGAAGCGTCCCTCGGCCCGCGGGGGGGCCCAGGGCAGGCGCGCCGCCCCAGATGTCGTCCAAGGGCGACTGTCCCGCGAGAGCGGGCCTCCTGCCGGAGAGGGCGCCGCGGCAGCAGCGCGGGGGGCGATCCGCGGGCCGAAAAGGTCTGCCTGCCAGATCGCCTTTGGGTTGTCGGTCAGCTGCGACGCGAAGATCTCCCTGAGCTCGTCTGCGTCGACGGGTCTCGCGCCGGTGATGTGCACCAGCTCTGAGCACCCGCGCGGCGGCTCCACGTCGCAGACTTCGCCCTCGCACAAGTAGACGAGAGGCCGCGCCGACACAGCGCTGCGCTATCCATGGGATGCCGCCCGCCAGTCCCAGCACGGGTCGTTTGAGAACAGGAAGCGCGGCCGCGCGACGACCGCGGGCCCAACAGAGACGCGCTCCGCGACCCAGGCGAAGCTGCACTGCACGGAGCCGTCGCCGTCGTACCATGTCGAAAGGTACGCCTGGCCCTCGGTCAGCTCCGACGGGGGGTCCTCGACGGGGAACGGCTCCTCCGCGGCGAACTCCGCGAGCCCGTCTGGCTCCCCCGTCGGAGTATACAACTCGTCCAAGCCGTCCACGCTACTTCGGGTCTCCGCCATCGGCGGGCCAGCGCTTGGGCAGCGCCGTGGCCGCCGTCAGCTCGCGACCGCGAGCACCTCCGCGTCAGGCAGCGCCGCTGGGACCCCAGCCGCGGAAACGCCAGGCCTAGGCACGGATGGCGGAGGCCCTGGTGGGGGGCAAATCAGGCGAGGGACCGAGTAGCCAGAATCGTCCCCCCGCAAGTCTTCGGGCTTGCGGGGGACGCCTGGAGCCTCGGGTCGACACCAAAAAAGTGAGGTGTCGGGGCCCCCGAGGCCCCTCTTCAGCCTTGAACAAGCTGCGGATGGAGACGGCGATCGACGATGCCCCCCCGTAAGTGTAGCCTTACGACAAGCGTAAACGGTTCTATGTATATATATATATATAGATATACATATATACATATATACATGTCTGACCTCAACAGCAGGGGGAAGAGAGAGAGAGAGAGAGAAAACGAAATAAAGAAATACATAGATAAGTAAAAAAAGAAAGAACGGGACACAAATAAATATAACACAACAAAAGGATAGATATTGGGAGGAGGAGGAGGAGGAGAAAAGGCAGAGGGCGACGAGGGAAAAACTGCACAGAAACGTGTATGTACGCACCTTCTCTGGCCAGCCTTGTCCCAGCTTCGACCTCCCCCCTTTTGCGTGCAGACGAACCCCATCCTTTGGGCCAGTGCACACTGCGGGCAGGCAGACGATACAGAAACGACTAGAGCTGCAAGGGAGGACGGCCCTGGGCTCCTCGTCCTCGTGGATGTCGTCGCCCTCCAGATGACCCTCCCCGTCTCCCCCCTCCTCTTCCTCATCGTTGTCCTCCCTCTCCTCCTCCTCCTCCTCCTCCTCCTCCTCCTCCAACTTCTCTTCTTCCCTCCCTCTCTCCGTCCGTGCACGCTCCCTCCCACCCCCTCATCCATCCATCCCTTCCTGCTTATCCTCAAACGTTTCCTCCTCCCTTCCTCTCTCCGACCCTGCATATCCCGTCCCATCCCGCACCTCTCCCTCCCCAAATCCGCCGCCTCCCCCTCCCACCTCCGCCCCCTCTCTCTTCCACCTCACCCCCGTCACGCCCTTGCGCCCGAGAAAAGGGCCACTGCCTGGTACGGCACGTTCGGATTGTAATCCACGTCCCGCGCGCCGAACAGGTGAGCGTTGTCCCTCCCATGTCCGTGGCAGGGGGGGGGGGGCCTCGGCCATCCCAGGGACGAGAGGTGGCCCTCTGGGACGTGGTGAAGGAAGGGAAGGGAAAGAGTGAAGGGAGGGATTGTGGAGCAACGGAGGTTGGAAGGGACGGAGAAAGGGAGGGAGGGCAAGGAGAGGAATCGATGACGCGTCGGCGTTGCAGCTAGATCTGGGAGGCCCATCCCACCACCAACCGTCTAGGACGTCGAAACAGGGGAGATGGAATACGAGAGGAGTGAAAGAGACAAGAGCAGAAAGAGAGAGAGAGAGAGAGAGAAGCAGAGACGACGGGAGCAGAAACAGAGAGAGTGGATTCTATTCGCAGGGCCACCTCCGAGTGGCCCCAGAGGGCCCCCCGGCGGTCCCAGCCCCGACAGCGCCCAAGATGCCCTCAAGACGGCCCAAGACGGCCTCGAGGTGGCCCTGGAGGCCCCAAGACGTCCGGCTCCAAAGAAGGCCCCAAGAGGCACAGGTAATTGATGCTCCAGGCAGGTTTTGAAATATGTCAGCGCTCTCGCCTCGTCGGGCCTCCAACGCTCCAAGACCGCCAGTGAAGCCGCAAAGGTCGCTCTTAGACGGCCCAAGAGGTCCCCAAGAAAGCCGCAAGACGTCACAGGAGGGACCCAAGACAGCCCAGGAGGCCCCCAAGATGGCCTCAAGAAAGCCCCGAGCGGGGCCCAACAAGGGGAAAACGATCTGACATGTCGAGTGCTTCCGCAAACGATGGCCCCCAAGATCGCCAGCACACCCCAAAGAGGCCACTCGAGCCCCCCAGACACACCAAAGAGGCCCCAAGACGCCTCCCAAAGGCCCCAAGAGGGCCTCAAAATACCTTCGAGGCCCCCGAGAAGCCTCCCAAGAGATCACAAGAAAACACCGTGAGGCTTCGAATCATACCGGACCTCCCCATGAGATCCGAGAGAAGGGGTGGCATGACGCCTCCAGAGTTCCTCAGACGTCCCCTGGCAGCCTCTCAGTGGGACCCCGAAAACGCATGCACCCAGGGAGCCAATATAATTGAAATGCATGCTTACGTTAAAAGTTTTTGGTGTGATCACCTCTTCGGGCTTCGCAGCCTCCAAGACCCCAGGATCGCCCCAAGACGGCACAGAAAGCGCCCAACAGAGGCACAATGCAGCCCAAGAGGGGAAGACAAATTCCAGAGGGTCTCAAGAAAGCCCCCTGACGGCCTGGAGGGGCAGGTTCAGGACGACCTGGGAGGGTCCAGACACCCCCCACACGAGGGCGCCAAGTGCGCCCCGCGACGAGCACGAAGGGGAAGACGATGAGGACGATAGGAAGGCGGGAGCGGAGAGGAGTGTAAAGGCCGCGGACGAGGAGGCTGTGAGCGCTACGAGCATCGTGTCGATGCTCGTCAGTCTGCCTCTGCCCGTCACATGTCTATGGCATACTCTGCCTGCGACCCCTTCTCCTTACACATCTGCGCCAGACCGGCAACTTGCTTTAGTCGGCCCAAGCTGCACGAAGAAGAGAGTTCACGGATTGACGTCACTGCAGTGCCACACGCACGGACAGAACGAGGAGCCGAAAACACCCAGTCAGACTTCAAGATAGCCCCCTCGAGAGATGTCCAACACGGCCCAAGACTAGCCAAGATCGCCCAATCTGGGACGGGGAGGCTTTCCAAAGGAACCCAACACGGCCCGAGAAGGCTCCCATGGAACCACAAACGCTCACGCCATGGGCAACGCAAAAATAGCTACACGAAGAAGTTCCGAGACGGCCCCGCGAGAGCCCGAAGAGCCCGAGATGGTTCCAGAGTGACCATGAAAGGCTAAGAATGTACCTACGTGGGGGACCCAGTTATGGCCGCGATTGGTAGTGTGGGCATTAAAACGACGAGAAGGGGGAGGAAAACAACAACAGAAGGAGCAGCATACTAATGATAAGCAAACGGAGCACCCTGAGAAGGAGAAGGAAGAGGCGGAGGATGAGCAACCCCATCTGCCCATCACTATCACTAACTCATTTCCCTCTCTCGCCTCTTCATCCTTGCTCCCCCGCTGCCCTTCTATACATGTTCCTTCTCCTATGATAATATCCCTGGGCATGGCCCCCACCCCGCCGTCACCTAACGATGTTCCGCCCGTTTGCAAGCACTTGACACGTCCAACGCCGCTCCAAAACGGACCCCGATGGTTTGAATGGCTCTCATGTCGCTCAAGACGGCCCGATAAGTCGCTCCAACATGACCCAAGAGGCCCCCGTGACGGCCCCAGAGCGCTCCTTGACGGCCAACGCTGCCTCCGGACAGCCCACAAAAAGCCCTCAAGACGCCCTAAGAGGCCCCTAAGAGGACCCCGAAGAGGCAAACATCGCCCCATTCCTTCCGGAAACGTGCATGTTTAGCATAGCCTCCTTTTCCAGCGTCCAAGACGACTACACAGGCCACAAATTTCCTCGCAAGATATCCCAAGAGACCTGAAGAGGGCCCCAAGACGGCCCCAGAGGACTCCAAAACAGCTCCAAGACGGCCCCAGAGGGTTTCCGGAGTGCTCCAAAAGGCTTCTGAGAGAGCCTCTAGAGATCCACAGGAGACCATCTCTAGCGGGCCCAAAGCCGCCCTAAGATCCCAAGAGGGCCCCAAGACGGCCCAGCCCACAAACGCGGCCCAAGAGAGCCTCAAGAGGGCCGCAAGACAACCCAAAATAGCCTAAAAAGCACCCCCAAGACGGCCCCGAAAGGCCATACCCGTTGAGGGAACTCGAGAGGTTTTCCGTGCCCTCCCCTGCAAGATGGCCCCCAAAGCCCACCAGTGCCGACGAAGCGCCCCCGAACGGCCTCAAGCGAACTCCAGCACGCTCATGCGAGGCTCCCAGAAGGCCGAAGGAACCCTCACGAGGGTCCCAACCGCCAACAAAACTATCCAAAAAGGCTCCAGGCAGTATGCAGGCTGGTCGAATTGCTGACTTTGCGTTTCCACTCCGACCGTTCGTCGGTTCGACCTCCGACTTTGCAAGAGGCTCTCAGGCAACCTCCAACTGGTTCGCTCACAGATGCCCTGCCGCTTTCAGTCCCACATTCCCGTCGGATTCCAGTATGATGGTTCCTTCGGTGGCTGTTTCCGCCTCTCCAGTGACGCTTGGCGCATCCCCACCAGTCCAGTCCAGCCAGAGACCACGCCCAGGCGAATGGCATTGATCAGGGAAATGTGCGATCATCCAATGCAACACAGATGGGGACAACCGTCATTTCTGAAAAAGGAAAAAGGAACGGATGAGGATACGGAAAAGGCGCAAAACGATTGAGGTACGAGGATGGGAAATGGAGAGAGAGGAAAGGAGCAGGAGGAGGGAACGGTATAGAGGAGCAGGGAGGCAAAGACAAGAAGAGGGAGAGGAGACTCCAATAGGGGCCCACACCCCGCACCCAGAAACGAGGCCAGGGGGAGTAGCACACCCCACCCCGAAAGGGACGAAGAGGGTTGGAAGCATTAACTTGCTAAGCACTTTCCGCCCAAATCGCTACTGGAATGCTTAGCCCCCTCTTCTCCGTCAGCTCTCCTACCCCGCCCTCCTCCGCGCGCACCTATTCCGTTCCCGTCCTACCCTGCAGCCTTTTGGCGCAAGCTTTGCAGCTGCGCTGTCCGCAGGCGAAGGGTTTCTTGCCCTTCCTGGGAGTCTCTCGGCAGCGTCTGTTGCTCTGCAATGTTTCTCGCGCGGCTGTCTTTTTGGGCCTTTTTGGACGAGCGACTCGCGATGCTCACGCGCAAACGTCGCAAGGAGGAAGTGCCCACTTCGGACACCATACTCCAATGTGGCGTCTTCGCCAACATCTTTGGAGACTACGATCCGGATACACAGCGGTCTGCTCGTCTCAGTGGCTCCTTGCTTGGAGGACGTCCCGCAGCAGGTGATGTTCGACGTGTTCTTTCGGTACTCAGGCTCCCACGTCGACTCTCTGGCCAAATGTTTCGACGCCAGTGGTCCTGCGACCTGGCGCCACTCCCAGGATTGTGGCATCATACGGACGGACGCTTACCACAGAGAGAGAGAGAGAGAGCGTGATCCACCGCCGCCGCCGCTTCACTGTGGAAAATTCAATTCCCGCCCCCACTTTCTCTGAAACCCGGGGGTCCCCCCCCCTCCGAAAATCCCCCCCTTCCCCTGGCCCCCCCCCCCCACCCCTCCCCCCTCCCTTCTCCGGAAAACCAGGGGTGGTCACTACCAGTTCGAACCCCCCTTGCCCCCCACCCTCCAGAAAACGGGGGGGGGTCACTACCGGTTCGACAACTCCCCTCCCCCATCGCCGCCGGCAAAAGACTCCGGGGTCCGCACCACCGTCCTCACCACCGCCCTCATCACTGTTCCCACCACCACCGTCCCCCCCACTGTCTCACTGTCCCTACTGTTCCCACCACTCCCCCCACGGTCCCCACCACTGCCCCCACCACCGTCGCACTGTCCCCACTGTCCTGTCCCCGCCACTGTCCCCACCGCTGTCCCACTCTCCCCACTGTCCCCACTGTCCCCATAAATGTACATATGTCCCCGCTGTCCCCACCACTGTCCCACTGTCCCTACTAACCCCACCACTCTCCCCACTGCACCACTGTCCCATTGTCCCACCACCGTCCTCACCACCGCCCTCACCACTGTCCCCACCACCACCGTCCCCACCACTGTCGCAACTGTCCCCGTCAGTGCCCCCACCACTGTCGACTGCCCCCACTGTCCCCTCACCACTGCCCCAGTGTCCCAGTGTCCCCTCACCACTGTCCCACCACTGTCCCAGTGTCCCCTCACCACTGTCCCCACCACCACCGTCCCAATGTCCCCACTGTCCCCACCACTGTCCCCCTGTCCCCACTGTTCCCACCACTGTCGCCACTTTCCCCACCAGTGCCCCCACCACTGTCCCACTGTCCCCATGTCCCTACCACTGTCCCCACCCCGATCCCACTCTCCCACTGTCCCCACTGTCCCCGCCACTATCCCACTCCTCCCACTGTCCCC